ATATCATTGTTATTAAATTTTCAGTCGTGCTATTGAGCTAGAACCAGAGTTTTTTCTTATTAGTTTCTTATAACCTCAGAGCCAGATATGATATTCTGCTTCATGAAGTTGTATATATTTTCCCTTTTTACAGATAGATGGCTTTTATTAATCTCGGTGTTTAGAATAGAGTAAAATGAGTAGCCGAAACCCGGCAAGCAGTCATGGTTCAAGCACCATACTGCTTGAAAGGGTGGAAGGAGGAAGGTTAAAATGGAGGACTGAAAGCTTCATCACATGTCAACTGCTTGAGATCATTGTTTCCAAGGAACATAAAAGAACTGAAATTGGTTTTGCCTAGATTAAAGTCGAGGTATTTTAGACTTGGAAGATATTTCTCTAGGGACGGCATACTCTTCAACATAGATACTCTTATGGGGTAGCAGGTCCATATCGGATAAATGTCGAAAAATGGCACTCCTCAACACTATAGCACGTGTTGACACTCTATGCGACATCTCTTTTTATTTTTTCGTCACTTTGTGAAAGTTAGATTGTGCCCCCCTAATTTCGAAAGTCTACATCCGCCCATGGCTTGATAGGCTAAGGATTGGTGTCAACCATGACAACAACTATAGTATTGGTTGTAGGTCATCTGTTGAGGTGCGAGAGATTTGTAGGAGAAAAGGGGCTGCATATGGAGAGGGAGAGGGAAAGAGGTTAGGGATTTGGAAATTTTAGGAAGGGAAATGAAACGTGTGGCTGGGGAAGAAATATAAAAGTGAGAAAGTGNGGGAAATGAAACGTGTGGATTGTGGGAGAAATATAAAAAGTGAGAAAGTGAATTTTCAAAGGGGTAATTTGAAAATTTCAGGGAGAAATTGAAAATTTTCATTGATACTTACTTTTCTTAAAATTACCAAAGGATTTTTTTTGGTAGGAAAATATTTAATATTTTTTTCAAAAAATTTTGGACAGATTTTTTCCATTGGTATCTTTTTTAACATTTTTTTTACTTAAAAATTTTACCAATAAATTTTTTTGTTGCTAATTATTTTATTCTTTTATATAGTTTTCAAAGGAATCATTTGTTGAAAAATTCATTGGTAAATTATTTACTTTATTCTTTTTAAGTCACCTTATATTTTTTAGGTACTTATTCCACCACAATATTTGTAAAAAAGCTAAACCATTGTAAAAGAAGTTAGGATAACAATTAAAGAACGTTACAAAATATAATTTTAAAAGCAACGGATGAAGAACGTTGCAAAAAACTTAACAACATCTTGCATTTGAGGCCTTTTGCAACGTGCAAATGCACGTTGTCGTATCATAAATGAGATATTGTTGTAATAACGGCGCAACATGCGGCTGAACATTGTTAAAGACCTACGTCAACATTTTTTGTCCGTTGCAAAAAATAATTTTTCTTGTAGCGACTTTTTCTTCCATCTATTGATTTTTAGAAACAAAAATTCATTGTCGCAAAAAGTGGACCATATTGTATCACAAACACTTTGTTGCAAAAAATTAATATTTTGTCGCCATAAGTTTCCCACCAAAAAATATTTTTTGCGCCTTGCTTCCTCATGTTTTTTACGACAGTCTTTATTATTTGTTGCGATTTCTCACATTTTACGACAACTTTTTATGTCGCCCTATATTTTTTTGTACTTATTTTTCTCACCACAATCTTTCCCACAAACTTTAAAAATGTGTCGTGCTAAATTACTTATTACAACAATTTTTTGTATGACACAAAAAATTTTATCGCAAAATCACAATTTTGTTGTAGTGTATCTCATAGGTCTAGAGTAAAACTCCTAACACTCATACTCTTCTATTGTAGGTCGTGAAATAGTCTCTAAATATTATAGTTTTGTAAAAGTAGACTGAGTGCCAGATGCTCCCAAACTACATTAACAATATCATACTTGGCCAATTACATGCCCATCGATAACACGACACACTCATTAACAAAAGTATTATCTTCTAATTATCAAATTCCTAAATATCTAACAATTTTATATAATTGGTAACTTCTTTTCTTTAGGTCTAACACTGGTGCCCAAAACATAATCCCACATCTTTTAGTCCTTAAAAAATTCTTTATCACAAGTCCAATAGAAATAATTCTTGCCATTTAATTGCACAATAATAGACCAAAGAGAATTATCTCGAATTCCAATTATTATGAAAATAAAAGAATAACTACTGATCAGAGACATAAAATATCTTGATGTGAAATTAAACCAGAATCGAAATGAGAACTAACGTAAGCTAAAAAAAATTGTACAATCGCCTGAACTAGGGCACGTGTCTCCCGCACCCCGAGCCACTTATCAAGAAGTTGGACTCGTAAGAGCTGTGGATGAAATATAACGTTTTTAATAAGATCAATAAAATTCATGAGATGATGGTTCTTATACTATGTTAAAATCGATAAACAATATATAGAGAAAAGAAAAGAGGATAGGATTTCTTAATTAATTATTTAATAAAAATATGAGAAAAATAAGCTTTGAATAGTCTACCCAAAAGATAAATATAAAAATTAATCTACCCTTAAGAATAACAACTAATATATTTAGGAAAATGTCGATTGTACACTCTTTTGTTGACATTACAAGTGTTGGTAAGTGGTGATTGAGTGAAAAAAGGGTAAAAAATTTAAATTTTCCAATGGTGTGTTGTCACGTAGAAAAATATAAAAAATGATGTAAAGAATGATATACATATAACATGATTGATATATTTATAACATATACAAGTTTTTCCATTTTTATGATGACATGGAAAATCACATTGTCAACGTAAGTAGGACCAAATATTGTTGACATTGTCAAAATTTGTTGAAACCTTGTGGCGAAGATAAGGTGGGGGTAGGTCGGATCGACCTTGCAGAGAGACTGTTGATCTTCTTCTTAATCATCTCCACAAATGCAAACGAGACATGGATTAGTCTATCAACCATTTAAAGGTGGCAGAATAGTAAATTCGATTACAACAGTCAAGTTAAACTATCCTCAGAAATTGAATTTAAAAAAAAAATGGAAAAAGCCATAAGTACAGAAAATTTGTTCACAGGTGCTCCCACCTGATTGAAACCGTTTTTTTTATTTCCCAACTTTCAATGAATTTTTGCCAAGTGTTATCTGTGAACCAATTTTGTGAACTAATTCTGTAAGTGTAATAGAAGAATGTCCAAATATAGTGGAGAGAAATATGTTTCACATTTACATTTGTTGGGGTGGTTATAGAGAGACAGTATTCGTGTCTTCTGCTAATTTACTTTCTTGTCCGAACATCTTCGACCCATCCAAGCACTCAATCCTGATTTGGCCAGTCCAGCCTCCTGGGAAATAGGTAAGGGCATTTTTTTTTTCTATTAACAATAAAATTTTCCCAAAATTCTAATATTTTTAAATCAAGTACGTTTCTCAAAATTACAAGTCATTAAGATCCTTAATTTGGGCGCAAAACAATAACCAAGCAATATAAAGGCATGTAAAAAAAAAAAAAAAAGAAAAGAAAAAGAAAAAAGAAAAAAGAAAAAAAAAATGGAAAAAGAAAGAAAAAGACTACAGAAGACCAAAAATTAATTTTAGTTCAAATTATGCCCTAATCTCTTGGATGCATTACCTCCGTTGTGGAGATTTTCGCTGATATCTTGTGGTTTGCATTTATTGCCGACCTGGTCCAACCTCGACTATTTCTCAGCAATAAGCTTGATTGGACAAGACTGAATCTGATAAGTCACAGTATTGTATGATTCTTAAGTTGTGAGTTTATTCCGTCTATATATGAAGGAGTATACTCACAATGGAATTCATAATACATTTCATTCTGTGTTCATCTGTTGATTGTGTATCTGGGAATTTAGGGGAGAGAGAGAGAGAGATGCAAGGTCTTCATATGAACAAAGGAGAAGGGGAAACCAGCTATGCAAAGAATTCCACTTTGCAGGTTCATATATACATGTTTTCCATTTCCTTCGTACCCCAACAATGTTTTAACACTATCGTTATTTAAACAAGTAAAAATTTGAGCATTTACAGAAACTTCTTGTTGGTTCTTTCATCCAAGACACATTTCATTCAGAGAAAAAAAAAAAACCGAAGTTCTAACCTTTTTTGTCTAACATTTTCGTGACAAATTTAACGTATAGTTACGTTAACTTTGTAGTTTCCAATGTTTATCCAAGTTTGATCCTTGAGATATGCGTCTGAACCTTTAGTTAATGAACGTAACGATGTCAAAAAAGTTCTGTGGCTCAGGCAGCTCGGGCTCGGCTTAGAAAAAGCTCGAATTGGGCTGGCTCGTGGCTCGATGGCATCGAGCCAAGGCTTGGGGTCGGCTCAAGCCCGAACTTTATTTTATTTTATTTATTATTATTTTTTTAAGTTTAGATGTATTTTTTTATATATTAATATTTAGTTATTATTTATAATACGTATAAATTGTACAAATTTTAAATACATTATAAAAAATTATAGATTTATAACGAATTAAAAAAAAAAAAAAAAAAAAAAATAAC